AATAAATTTACACAATTAATTTTAAGTAACCATTATTTAAACGGATATTGCAGAGTACTAATACCTTCCATGTACGTAAACGATTCTTAAAGTTATTTTTTATTTTCAAGATTATTTTTCAGTTTTCTTAAGGTTTTCTTAAATAAACTTTAGTGACAACTCCTTTGACTTTTTTAGAAAATATTTTTTTATTTTTTTCTTAAAATGTTATGGTCGTACCATTGTGATCAATCACCCGGTTGTGACATATATGAATGTAAATAGCTTTTATAGATGATATAAATAATATGTAGCTCACCTTATATTATTAGAAATAAAATTTATAACAATCTCACAAAAATTTAAGGTGCACATATGGTCCATCTCAATTTATATCATCACCAAGTTTCATCTTAACTATTACTCTTGAGCAAATGTACAGTGAATTTATATGAAAACAAAAAAACTATTTTTTTATCATAAAATTATACTTTTATTAATTTTTTAACTTTTCTCTCTTTTTTTTCTTTTTGTTATTTCTTTTTTTTAACAAAATTAAATATTATTGCCCACTTAATGGGTTGGAAAACTTAGTGCATCAACTAAAAAAAAGAAAAAGTTAAACTTTAAATTTTTTTAGAAAAATTATAAGAAAAAATGATTTTGTACAATAAAAATATGTACTTTTTACTAATGAAAAAAATGATAAACAGAGAAGAGAGAAGCAGTAATAAAATGAAAATATAACAAAATAATTATTGTAGTAAAAATTTATTCCTTCTAAACAAATAAATAAATAAAAATAAATATATTTTATATTTAAAAATAAAAAATTATTTTTAAAATAGAAATTAAACAAACCCTTAAAAGCGGTATTTTGTTGAAAAAAATCTCACATTGTATTATTTCGAAACATGTCATTGGGTCTCCGAATTTCAAAACTAGCGTATCCCATTATTTCTCAGTGATGAAGAATTGATATCTCACTCTCACCTTTGGTAAGACAAACCCTGCCTTCCCGCCATCCCATCCCATCCCATCAATCTATGTCCCATTTAGAATGTAAATATTTAAGATTAAGGGAATGTCCCATTTAGTTTTATAAAATTGTTTTAAAATGTAAATTTTGAAAATTAAAAATCAAAACTAAATTAAACAAGATTTAATTCTATAATTTCATTATTATTTCGACGTTGTTAGGATTAAGTTAAGGATAAGTATTTATGTGATAAATTTATTTTCAACATGAATATCTAATTAAAGTAACTTTTTTTCTTCTCAAAATTGGAGTGGTAGAACAGTTGATTGAGACTTGAACGATGATTTAGTTGAAAATTTAAGTCAACCCATTCTATAAGTTAAAAAATTAAGAACTTCAATCACATCAAAGAAAAAATAAAATTGTAGTTTAAGAATATGTTTGTTTTCATTTTAAAAATATTTTTATTTTCAAAAATACAATACAAATTTGTATTATATTATATTTTTAAAAATAAAAAATAAATGAAAAATAGACATAGTCTAATACACTAATTTAATTTTCTTTAAAATGTCATGTATATATCAATATGACAAAGGTTCAAGACTGAGAAATGAGGAAGTCTTATAGTCGTCTACAAATAGTGACAAAGTTCGCTCACAAAGTTCCTTGTGCTATAATTCTTCGTCTTTCATCAGACCTTTCTTTAAAATTTTCAACGTCTTGTTTTGATTTTAGTGATAGATCTCATCCACATGATTGTTTTATCATATATGTATGCAACAATAAATCTTTATTTGGATCAATCACAAATTATAAGTCATTACCAAAATTAAGAAATAGCATTAACAATTTCTATTATGCAAGGTTATTAAGAAAAGAGAAGCTGAAAGTTTGAGTTATACTTAGATGTATAAAGCTTTACGAGACAACTGTAGCAAAATGTGAACTTTGATACAACCATGGATGAGAACCTTTGACGGCGGACCAATGTTTTCTCTCTTGATGGATGAGAACCTTTGATGGGGAGGGCTAACATTTTCTCTCTTGATGATGGATGTAGAGAAAGTAAACTTTTTTGGTGTAATGTATTAGGTATCAGTATCATAGTCATACTTTCTATTTTTAACATATTAAGGTTCTTATACAGTATCGTTACCAGAATATTGAATCATTAACGAAGAAAGACATGAGATAAAAACAAATATATTGGTTATTCATTGTTATCAGCCTTTTGTCTCTGTTTTCATATCGAGAATTCTTTGCAAATGAAGAGATGTCAAGGAAACTTCTTACTTTTCAAACAAATCTTTCTACGTCTATATATAAACGCTATTATCATTCAATTGGCCTAAACCCAGTTTCTACACTTAAAACAGAATTTACAAATAACTTATATCAAGTCCATATAAATGTAAATAGCTCTTATAAATGATATAAATAATATATAACTCACCTTATATGATTAGAAATATAAAATTTCTAACAATTTCTCACTTGGCTTGTATATTTATTATATTAGATGCGTATATGCTCCATCTCATACAAGAACAAGGAATCACTACAACTTTCATTATATTTCATTGAAATTAAACTGCAATTATCACCACAGTTACATATACTTCAATGACATAAATCGAACATGGATAAGAGGAATGCAAATTAATTATATTTAACGTGATCTTAATTATGTTTATTTTCAATTAATCCAAACTTTAATATTTATAGAGATTAATTTAAAATTGCAATGTAATTATTGAATAAAACAAATTCAAAATAGACATATAAACATTTAATTTATTCTATATCAAACAAAAGTATATAGAACACAAGGGAGACTCTCACTCATGCTAAGGAACAATAAAAAATTACACTCATATAAGTAATGTGCTCATAAAAAACTTTAGGCACTAATCCCCTAGTTAGTGGATCGGCTAACATAAAGTCAATCCCTATATGTTCTATACAAATTTACTTATTTTAAACTATTTTCTTAATAACCAAAAACTTAATATCAATAAATTTTAACTTAGTTGTACTCTTGTTATTAGAATAAGAATTGTTGAGTTATCATCACAATAGATTTTCAATGGTCTTTCAATATTGTTTACACACAAATTAGTGACAAAATTTTGCAATCATATTTTATGGTTGGACGCCTTAAAACATTCAATGAACTCCATAACTATGGTTGAAGAAGCTCTAAGACTCTATTTGACAAACTTCCAAGAGATAGCTCCTCCTACCAATATAAATATGTATCCAAATATGGAGCGGTTGTTGTCTAGCCATCCAACCAAATAAAATTCTAAGTATCACATGATCATTACACTCTTAGACTTTTGGTAGGTGAGCATGCCTTTTGTTCTCGTCAAATATTGCATCACACACTTTATTGCCTTCCAATGTTCTATTCTAAAATTACTCAAGTAGCCGCTTAGACACCTACTACAAATGTGATAAGTACCTAATTTGAGTTATTGTTTACATTAATTTGAGTACTTAACTTTTCTAAAGCTATGAATTTGAATGTCCATTCACTCTTTAATCATAAAAATTCAAGTTAGTAGCCTAGTTAATTTAACAATTGAGATAGAGATTCATTCTTACTCCTTGTTTGCTTAATTTTTTTTTTATCTTCAAGAGCTTATTGAAGTGGAAGACATTTGGCAGCCAACTCAACTTTCGCTCAAGTGAAAAGGTTTCGCTTGAGCGAGAATACTAATGGAACCACCAACAATTATATATATATATATATATATATATATATAATTTCGCTCAAGTGAAAAATAGTCTTTTATCTAGGGTTTATGGTTAGTTGGAAAACAACTTTTAAACTCAGATTTAATGGAACTCACTAGATGTGTTGTGATTCTAGGAATATGGTCCAATATATTGATTGCTTATCAACTTTTGTACTTAATGCATGGAGGATTGATTGAATGATTGAGGAATCGTTATTCATTTAATGCTCTTAAAAACTTGTATGGAGGAATCAATATAAGGATTTATGAGAGAGTGCATCCACATTGATATATTAGTATTTACATGTTTATCATCAAAATATAGAAAGGAAATAATGATGAAACTCAATCCCAACTCAACTCGTAACCTTTTATCCACTAAATTTTACTTTGTTTTTTTTTTACTTTTATTGCACTTCTCATTTATAAACAAATTGATTTAATCGTTTTAAAATTTAGAATTTTTATAAAGGATAGTGGAAGTCATTGATATATCTACCAATCCTTGTGGATGTGACAACCTTTTATGTTACTTCAAAAACTTGGTACACTTGCCAAATTTATAACAAGATTTTTGGCGCTGTTGTCAAGGATTGTGTTAGATATTTATTAATTTCTTTCTATCCCTATTAAAATTCAAATTCTTTGATTTTCATACATTTATATATATATATATATATATATATATATATTTACTCTTGTGCTAATCCATTTGCTCAGATTTTGTTTTGTATGCGAAGAAAAACTCCAGCCTAACGGTTGGTCTTTGATCCTGAAATTGAGAGGACTATTAGGAGGAATAGGAGTAAAACTAGAAAAGAGATATAAGCAGAAAAGAAAAAGGAGCAACACAAGGGTCCATCTCAATCGCACTCTCAACCTGAAACAAACTCTCTCATTTCATAACGCAAGGGTAAGCAATGTCTAAATCCACCTCAAAGAACTTTGGGGGATTATGCCATCTAACAAGGTCCAAGACACTTCTTCAGCATTGCAATCGTGACTACAAGAACTATGGAAATAAAGTCAACCTTTTTAAATCTAGTTACTGCACATCAATTTGCAGAGTTAGATCATGAAGATCATTACACTCACTTATCCACATTTTATGAATTATGTGGTATTATAAGCATTCTAGGTGATGACGAAGCTGTGTATCTTAGGTTATTTCCATTTTCTTTAGTGGGAAAGGCTAGGGCATGGTTACAATCTCACCCAAATCAAAGTCTTATTAGTTGGAGTAATGTTGCATAGAAGTTTCTAAATAGATTTTTCCCATCATCCAGATTTATCCATGCAAAATCATATATTTCTATCTTTAGACAAGGAGCATATGAATCATTTTGTGAAGTATGGAAGAGATTCAAGTCATTACTGAAAAAATGTCCGAATCACGAGTTTAAGGATATAAATGTATAAGTAGGTGGATTGAGGCCCCCACTATGATTATGAGACCCTGAAGGGGTATCATAATCACAAAAGAGAATGTAATGCCTTGGGTTGTATGTGTTGAGAATGATAAGACTTGAGTATAATGCTTGCCATGAATAAATGTGTTTATCTTGTCTTATTGCATTAATTGTTGAATTATAATTGAATGTGCTGTGTGTTGAGCTGATGTGGATGTATATGTATATATATATATATATATATATATATATATATATATATTGGGTAGTGACTGAATTTGGTATGAGATGAGTAGCATAAGTTCTGGTGCAGGGCTTTCTCGCTGTAGCGAGAGAGCGACAGTTTAGGCTGCATTTCTGGGTGCAGTCTCGCTGTAGCGAGATTCTGTAGAAACCAGAGTGCAGTTTCTTCTGAGTTTTTTGCTGTGGCGAGAGGGTGTGTCGCTGCAGTGAGGGGATTCTCGCTGTAGCGAGAGGTCCCAGGGAGAAAGGCATGCGACTGTCGCCTTCTCACTGTAGCGAGAGAGCGACAGTCTGGGCTGCATTTCTGGGTACAGTCTCGCTGTAACGAGATTCTGCAGACACCAGAGTGCAGTTTCTTCTGAGAATTTGTCGCTGTAGCTAGAGCGTCACGTTTCAGACTGTATTTAAGGGTTCATGGAGAGCTGCGCGTGGGTATTTTCAAAACCCTCAACCTCTCTCTTCTTCCCTTTGCCTTTTCGGTTGATTTCTGCCCCAAATCACTAGAAAACCCCAATCTCTTGTGTGATTCTAGGCCGAAGGGAGCGATTGAAGTCATTTTTGGTAAGTTCTATAGTTTCCTTTTTGGGATTTCTTGAATTTCTCCAATCCACACTCGATTTTCTGAGCTTGGCTGCGTTTGTAGGGAAGTTCTTGCGGATTTTAGACTTGTTTAACCAAGAGCACCTTGAAAAACACCGGATTGAGGTAAGGGGAGCTTGCCCTAGGTCATTTTGATGATTTGGGAGTGATGAGAGGTGTTGAGAGAGAGTTAGAGTTGCGTTTTGGAATAAAATTGTTGTGTTGATGTGATTGATTGTTGTTGAACTCTAGGAGAAGTAATTTGATAGCTGAATGTTAGAGTATTGTGGTTGTATGTTGTGAAAACCCTAGGGAGGATGACCTAATATGCTAAATATGACGCGTAGTAAATTGTTGGGCTGTTTGCTGAGTTAATAATGTTGTACTTGCTGAAAATTGCTAAATTAGCTGAGCTATTATATAATTACTATTGCTGAAATTATTAATATGCTGGTTGCTGCATCATTCTAGAGCTGAATAGGGCTGTCATGATAGGCACTGTGTCACATGCTAGGTGGTAGTCATGTGGCTTTAGAAAACTGAGTTGTACTATCTGGATCCAAATACTGGAATAGGTTGCTCCCGGACCAGCACAGTTCCTCTGGACCCACTAAATATGCTGTTAAGGGCCAGATGGGTACTGTTTCTCATTACTGCATGAGCATGAGCTGGGCTGGGCTGCATGGGCTACATTTGCTGTTTCTTGCTGTTTGCTTAGATTACCCTATTTTGATATGTTGTTTTTTTTTTTTTGTAAGCTCACCCTTGCAATTGTTGTTGTTGTAATGTTGTGCTGCGATGACCGTACTTTGGTACGTGAGCAGATCAGGCAGGTGAGGCTTCGGCTTCCCAGGCTGACCGGAGTAGCTGATGGAGATGCGGAGGACTAGGCATTAGGATACATTATGATTTTTCTCATGTATTAATTTTTTGTTGTAATCAATATTTGTATTGACAACTAAGTCATATTTTGTAATACTTATATGGTTAAGGATGATTTTCAAATAATGCATGTTGATTTCTTTTGATGACTGTTCATGAACATCCAATTAGGGTGATTTACTGTGTTTTTGCTGAGATTTAACGGGTTATGTTTATGACCCTGCCTTGGGGTCGTGACAGAGAACATATCTAGACAAAGAAGTTTTTTAAAGATAACAGTGTAGAGTTGATAATCTTGTACAAAAGAGATAGAAAATTATTTGACTTTTAATGCATTTAAATGTAAAAACTAAGTCCAAATGATATTATAGGTAATATATCCTTTTTATTCCAATTTAAACAACCTAAGTCTACCTAATTACTCCTTTCGTATGTGAAGATTTGGTCGAAGTTGAAGATATAAATAAAAAGTAATAATATTAACAGGGTTTTTTAACGTATGGGTAACAATAAGCATTATTTGGGGGGTTTTTAAATTGCACGTAAATGCATTATTACTATGCTATTGATATATGGTGTACGATTATTCAACGGGGGACTTGAGCAGAATTAAAAGAGAAAACTTACAAATAGGTTACACAAGAAAACACTATCAAATCATTACTTTCATGAAATAGTGATTTTGCTAGCCATTTATTCAACTAATGATAATTCAGATCTTCAATTTCCAGCAAAAGTTATTGATGCTTTCCTCCCATATCATAAGTGCTTAACTAAGCAATAGAACTACAGATTTTCTGACATACAAACATCAATGGTGGAGAAACAGATTAGAAACAGGATTTTAGTTATTACATAAAAGAAACGAAAAATGTATCAATTAACATATAGTTCTGAAAGTTAAAATTTAACTCACTACACTTTTTTAGAATTTTTTATTTTATTTTCTCAATTTCTTTTGAAATTAACATAAATTAAGATATATAATATATGCTTTTTTTTATTATATGTTATGTTATTTTACAATATATTATTTGTTAATTTTAATTTTAATATATGTTTTTTTAAAATATTAAAACAACAGATAATATATTTTTATTTTAAAAATAACATAAAAGGGGACCATCTTGAAATATCCAAGTTTAAAAGTTTCTATGAGAACAATTAAAAATTATATAAAAAACCATCATTTAACATCTTAGTTTAACTGAACTAAATAAATAATATTCAGATTTCAATATTTCAATTATGGAAAGCACTTAGTTTAAATCAATACTTTTAGTTTTTAGTGATAACAAACTATTCAGAAATCGTTTTATATTAATTTTTCCAAGGATGAAAATATAAGGATGAAAATATATTTAAATTAAAAAAATTGCCAAATTAAATACCAGAAGCAATTAGTATTACATACCTGCTAGGCTTTGAGATCCAAAGGGACACTTTTCCCAATTGGTTACTATCATTACATATAGTCAGTGACTTTGTTCAAAAATCTGATGTAACATTTTTTCCAAGGTTGGGAGAACAGTATTGGTCCTAATAAGCCCCAAAAGCCTGTGAAGAATCCCAATCCCAAGCTCATATAAAACGTGCCATAGAAAAGTGAATTGTCATCTTGATTTTCACTAGGATTTGTTGATCCATGAGGCTTTAGTGTGGTCTCATCTCCTGGACAAATTTTGGGAAGCGGTGCACCACAAAGATCACTATTTTCTTCAAAATTAGAGGCATCAAATGTCTGCAACTGTCTTCCCAGAGGGATTCTTCCATGCAGGGAATTATGTGACACGTCTAGCCTCGTTAAACGATCAATTTTTGAAAGAGTAGAAGGAATTTCACCAGATAAATGATTTCTTGACAAATCAATAAATTCTAGTGAGCTTAAATTGCCAATCCCAGAAGGAATTTCTCCACTCAGATTGTTTCTTGATAAATTCAAGGAAACTAACCCAAGTAAATATCCAATCTCCTTTGGTATTTCACCTGTTAAATTATTACTCGAGAGATCAATGGTCTTTAAACTCAACTCTGGATTCTTGAACCCACATTCCACACCTTTCCACATCAATGTTATGTTCAGCGTGTAATCACCAATCCTCAAAGTACCATAAATTTCAGAGTTCGTTCCATTGTACCACCACCAGTATAGCTGAGATAGAGTTTCGCTTTGGTTGATGCTCTGTCTAGACATTGCAGTAAAATTATTTAAGCACTTTGGAATTCCTTTTGATAAGTTATTCATGGAAAGGTCCAACAGTTGAATGTGCCTTAAATAACAGAGATGAATGGGAAGGTTTCCAGAGAAGCGATTCTCTCGCATGCTCAAGACTATCAATTGCTGCATATTTTCACCTATCCATGATGGAATTGGACCAGACAACGAATTCTCACTGACATCCAACAACATTAAATTGCCACAATTTTTCAAAGAGGAAGGAAATTCACCTGATAAACTATTGTTCCGTAAAACCAAAGCTTCCAATTTAACAAGGGTGCCCATCGAAGTTGGAATCTTTCCTGACAAATTATTATTTTTTAAATCAAGAAACAATAATGATCGGACGGATTTCCAACAATCTGGCAATTGTCCCTTAATTTGATTGTTTGATATATCCAACATGCCCAAGTTTGCAGCAACGCTTTTGTCACATAAAAATGAAAATAAATCTGAAAATTTATTTTCGGAAAGCTTCAGCTCCGATGCTTGTTTAAAAAAAGATGGAACTCCACCCTCAAAATTATTTGAATTCAGAATTATGGACGGTCTAGAAGGAAGCTTGAATGGGGAATTTGGAATTGTACCTGTTAGATTGTTGTAAGACATATTCAATTGTCCCATATATGGTGAGTTGTTCCAAAGCCAGTCTGGCACGGAGTCACGAAGCCCGGCATCAGAAATATCCAACGATGATAAGGAACTTTGAGTCTTGAGCCAACTGGGAAAACTCGTACCCAACTTGCAAGATGCTAGTCTCAAGCTGTTTAATTGGAAAGGAGGGACCCAGCTAGAGCCAAATTTTAGAGACAGTGAATTGTACGACAAATCCAACCATTTTAATTTGGAGAAATTAGTGAGATGTGACTCAGTGACGTCACCTTCCAAAGAATTCCCCGCCATGTTCAGATCCACCAACTCATACAACAATCCAATGTTTTTAGGTAGCATGCCTGTAATCCTGTTATTAGATAAATCCAAACTCTGAAATAGGTGTCTATTGCACCATGAAGAGTTTTGAATGAAGCTTGACATTTCTCCACTCAAGTTGTTACCTGAGAGGGATAATGTCCGCAATGCGCACATGTTCCCAAAGAAAGATGGAACCTCTCCTTGAAGTTTGTTAGAAGATAGCCAGAGAACTTCAAGAGAGTTCATTACTCTCCCAAATCCATCTGGAATGGGACCTTCTAACAAGTTCTCATAAAGATAAGTGTACGAAGATTGGTGGTGCAGTTAAAAAGCCAATGAAATACAGCCGACGATTTCAACAGATTCAAGGAGAGTTCAAGTGTGACAAGAGAAGATGAAGAATTGATAATGGCATCGGATGACACGAGAAAACTTCCATCCATAAGACTGCAGTTTGTTAGATACAACTCTTTTAATTTGGAGCTGAAGTTGAAGTTACCATGAAATATTGATGATGTCAGATTATTAAAAGAGAGGCGAAGGCTCATAAGAGATGGAATGTTAAACAATAACTGAAGTGTTGACGATGTCAGCATATTAGAAGAGAGGTCAAGGATGGTAAGAGTAGTGGAAAAGTTGGAATGAGAATGAAACAAAGATGAAACATTATCATCTGAAAGACCACAGTCAGATAGCCTCAACTCTCTCAGGTTTGGAATGAGTTTACTCATCGTTTGTACCCAGTGATAAGAGGAACCAAGATTATGCAATGAACTCAGGTCAAGAGTTGTTAAAGAAGAGAGAGCAGACAACCACTTTGCATCGTTAAGATCAAAATTGCCACCAAGTCCAAGAGTATGCAGGACTGGAAGATTCCCAATTTGAAAAGGGATTGCTCCAACAAGAGAATTTCCGTTAAGATCAAGATATTGCAACAGTGAAAGATTTTGAAACTGATATGGGATTTCTCCATCAAAATAATTGCCACTTAGATCTAGATATCGTAAACTTGTGAGTTTCCCTAGTTGAGAAGGGATTGCTCCAACAAGAGAATTTTCTTGAAGATCAAGATATTGCAATAGTGAAAGATTTTGAAACTGATATCGGATTTCTCCATCAAAATAATTGTCACTTAGATCTAGATATCGTAAACTTGTGAGTTTTCCGAGTTGAGAAGGGATTGCGGCAACAAGAGAATTTACTTTAAGATCAAGATATTCCAACTGTGAGAGGTTTCCTAGTTCAAGAGGAAGCCTCCCAACAAAACCAGAATATGATAGATTGAGATATCTTAAGTTATTGAGGGAGCCAATGTCTTTTGTGATTTGGTCACGGAAATCATTATAGCTGAGGTCGAAATGTTCAATGTATTGCAAGTCAATCAATGAAGTGATGTTAATTGTACCTTTCAAGTATTGAATATCATCATGACCATGAATATCAAGCGTGTGAACATGACCTGTTTCATTGTTGCATTCAATGCCTTTCCATATGCAACAGTCTCCATTGGAATCATCATCTTTCCATGTAGAGAGAATGCCAGAAGGATCATGGAGGCCTCGTTTGAAGTTGAGGAGTGCTTGTTTCTCCCTCTCTATGCACTTTACTTCAAGAGAAGACTCTGAGGTATGCAATAAAAGAAGCAGAAGAGCATAAAAGATTAAGAGAAAATAAGTGCTCATTTTAATTTTGCTAATTAAGAACATATCGCAAAACAACGCTGGAAGACTGTGAGATAGTTTTTTCTCTTTTGCTTGTGAAGGGTGTGAACTCCATGGCAGGATTTATAATCACAATTGTACGGCTGAGTGGGCATGTTCTCGGTTCTTTCCTGCGACGACAAATTAAAACGTGAAACACTACAAAGTGAAAAGTAAAAGAGACTTGGCAAATGAAAAAGATAATTATTCCTTGTATATTACTATCCTCTTTCCATTTCGTTCTAATCATGCATGCATAAAGTAAAATCGTTGGTCTTTGTAGAAGTATATCTTACGTAATTGAACATCTATCAATTAACATATGGCATCTTTAATGGCCTTTTTCTATTGCTTATTAATCTTGAGTGAGTAAGAATTAATATTTAGTATAATAATCGTTCTCTGTGAAAATAATGTTTGTTACCTTTAAAATGTTCATTATTCTATATATTTTTTTTATTAAATTTCTTATAAAAAATAATTGTAGAACAAAATTGTTTTTTGTTAAAAAAAATCGTAGGCATGAGTTAAGTCTAATATATATATATAAATCCGCTGACAGTGTGTATTTAATTTGGATACTTAGGTGAATTTAATCAATTTAATTATTAATTTAAAAAAATTTATTTAGTAAATTAGCTTTATAAAATTAAAATATAAATAGATATTAAATTTTAAATAACATAATTAGACTACAAATATTTAAATTATATAAAATTTTATATATATAACATAATTGCTACTTTTTATTAATTTTTTATTAAAAATAATCGTAGGAATAAATTTGCTTTAAGTCACGAAATTATCGGCATTAATTAAGTCTCAAATTTTCATTATCCTATAATTTCTTCAAATAGACAAACACACATCACTTTTAAACTTCCTTTATGCACTTTAAAAAGAGCTTGTTTAAAAAACGAAGGCTTTGAAAGTGGTTTTGTAGGTTAGAAACCGTATAAACTTGATTCAGAATTTTAAACAAATAGACACTATAGTTCTGTTTGTATTACAAATGGAAACTTTATTTACTCACTTTGCTTCGGAAACACTAGCCTAAGTAGTAGTAATAATTGAATATTTTTATTCGTTTCTAAATAATATTATGTTTATGTAATAGTTCTAGGTCAAATTTATACATGGCCAAATTTCAATTTTTTTCATCTTAACTATTAACTTTTAAGCAAGGACAAAAACTCTAAATTTTAAGATTTCAAATTAGTGCATTAATCAAACAAAAAAAACTTTATTTAAACCTTTAGAGCAGCATACTAATAATTTGTGGATTTGTATTTTGAGCTCTATGTAGAACAACTGCTGTAAATATGTATATGCTTACATAATTTTTGGATTGTATGGAAAAGATTTTGTGATTTTGTCATCACATTGAATGTCAAAATTAAATTTGTAGAAATTTTCCTTTTGCCTTCTGCCTTATAATTATTTTATTTTATAAATAAATCAATTCTGCGAGCAGTAATACATGTTCATCAGTCCTTTATAAAAAAGGATCATAACAAATCTAATTCTTTCCAAGATCAACCCTTAGGAGATTATGAATTAAACCCTTTTTAGAGTAGTTTTGGGCTATGGCCTTTTGCATATTCTACATTAAGCAAAAGGATCTCTCTATTCCTATTCCTAGATACTTCATTGCAGTTTTCTTCAAAATGAAGGGTGTTTTGTTTTTGCATTTGAGAATTCTCCCTACACTCATCATTCACTTTGGTTAATGTTATATTTTGTTTAGGTTGGACTATCATTTTAGGATTAAAGGGTTTTGGGCCATTTTTTCCTAAAGGTTTCAACTTATAAGGATTACCCCTATTCATTTCCTCTTTACTATTCATAGTCTGGTCTATATTATATTCTCATGTTCATTAGGCAAATCCTACTCCTCTTTAGGCTCATTATCACCTAATACATCAAATCTGGAGTAAGATTGGATATCCTTGCCTTTTCCATTAAAGACATTGGGGCTAATATTCCTAGATGGACCAGATTTGTTTTTTAGGGGTTTCTTAGCTAACATCCAAGGACCAAATTTTCTTTTTAGGTTATAGTCTCTACATCTAAACATGGGGTTTCCACCTTTGCACCAGAATATAGTGGTCCAAGATTAACCAGGATCCTTCAAACAGGGCATATTTATAATCCTCTAGATTTTTAAATTTCACCAAATAGAAATCATTATTTAGATCTAAAACTTTAAGATCATCATTTCCCCCCTACAAAGTTTCCCGTTTCTTGTTAAAAAAATTAAACTAGTAGATTTATCTAAAAGTTTTACTATTAGGGTAAACTTCCATAGCGAGCACCATTGCTCATAATCCTCAAGCGATCTTTTGATCTTAGGGCAAAGGTTTTGAACCATACTAGCATATGAGGCATCCACCTCATCCTCTCAAAGGATGTTAAAGTCTTCTAACATAGATCTAAGTATTTTCTAATTTCCTAATTCCATATTTATATCTTTTATTGCAAGAACTTTGTCTCTATAGAACATGCATGAAGGGAGATAGGATTAGAAAGAACCTAGTTAATTAGCATAATAGATTCCAGATCTTCTTGCATATTTTGAAACAAATCCTTCAGAGAATCCAAGGCTGTTGTTTTAACCTTCTTTGAAATTTGGATCCTAATATTAGCTTCGTCCTTAGAACGTTTCTCAGCTTCTAATCGCACCAAAGATATCTCAATGTTGTCTCTAAGAGTCAGAAGGCGAGAGCCCTCTAAAACCCTTAATGAAGCCATGGATAAGGATTTTCTTTTTTTCGAGATGGCACTATAGAAGAATGGGGGAGAAAGGGTTAGACAAACTCTCGCAGATAAGAAAAGGGTCTTTCTCTCTCTTTGCTAACCAATAAGTGAAATTTTTGAAGAAAATTCTAGAAAGTTTTTAATAAAATGTGTGTTTAAATGATAAAGATTTAATAAAATAAGCATATAAAAGCTCATATAAAATAGATAAAAAAAAATCATATACAAATAATGAAGAACACAACTCTATAACTAGAAATAGTATGTGTTCAAATGATAAAGATTTAATAAAATTAAATAATTTTATAATATAATTTATTTAAAACAACCTTTTTAGCTTATAGTGTCAGAAAAGTAATTAAATATCAATAATCAATATTATTTTTTCAAAAATTAATTAACATCATTTTTAGACAATTTTAATCTAAAAATATATAAGTGAAAAATTGTAAAAAAGAAATAGCTCCAAAAATGTTTCACTTGTTTAAAAATAAAATTTTATTTATAATAAAGAGGTTAAGTGTTGATCCTTTAAAAAAAAATTATAAACGACAGACCAAATTTTAAAAAATGAAAAATAATCTACTTATATATGTTAAGATAATTTCATCATGTACTAATACGAATTTGAAAACGATTTTTGTCAAAATTACTTTACCATTTAATGTTTATTAGCACCGGAAAAAAAAAAAGAGCAACACAATTTTTATTTGAAGGAAAACATACTAGATTCTAAGAGTTAATTATGAGCGAGAAAGGTTTTAGAACATACATCGACTAGGTTAATTATTTAAATCTTTAATAATTTAAAAGATTTATTAATCAATTTTTAAAAAGATAAAATAAAAAATTAGAATATTTACAATAAAGAAAAATTAATTTATAAAAAAATTAATTTAATTTTGACATAATTTTTTTTACAATCAATAATTTCAAAATCACGAAATTCTTTTAAAAAATTATTGTGGTTGCTTGATTTTAATTTTAAAGAAAATGGAGTAATAATATATTAATAATACATTAGTATTATAGATTATCACGTGAATTAAAACTTTAAGTAAAATTATTTGATATTTAAAAATTTTATTACAGAGAACATGAGATAATAATTTATATTTTGAAAATATTTATATCACATATAACTTAAGATAACATGTTTATAAAAAATATCTTACAATTCATATGATTCATATAATATTTGAGGATAGGGAAGTTACAAAAATCAACAATATATATAGATCATTAAGTGAATTATTAATTGATTTTGCATATTAACATAAAATAAAAATAATTATATTTTAAGAATGAATTCAAATACATTTTTCTTAAGAGCAATATGGTTATACATAGACTTTTACATTTTATATAACACTCGAGAAGATTAGGACTAAATACTAACAATGCCCATTGTTGTGTTTATTATAATTTTTATTATTTACTAATAAGATGCAAATGTATAAGCATCAAGTAAGTGGTCAAATGGGCATTTCGATAATAACTCAAATTAATTATTTTCTTCTTTTTTTTCTTTTCCAAGTAGCCTAAGCAGGATTATATATATAACCAAGCAGTCTGACATCCAATTTTTTTTTTTTTTTACATGCCTATACTTTATTTTCAGAAACTTAATTTTTAAAATTATTACTCTAAAAATTAAATTTTATAATTATTTTATAAAAAGTTATTTTTAAAAATTTAATTTCTTAAATATATTGAATTCTCTTTAAAAATAATTACAATTTTTTTTAAAACCAAAAAAAGAAACTTAGAGTACAAATAAAGAAAAACAACAGTACTAAAAAGAAAAATTCTTTAGGATACAAAGAAAATGAGCCGTACATGATAAAAAAAAAATAAACAATTACACTAATTCAGCCCTTGTGTATGATAAAAATCTTTAGTTTGAGTGATTGTTTATATCACCGTTGTTCTAAATATTAAATTATAAAAGTATGTTTTTTAGATTTTAATTTTTAAAAGTGATTGATACATTTTAGATTTTTATTTTTGAAAAAAGACGTGATATGATTAACAAATTATATATATATATATATATATATATATATATAAACAAATCCAAATGTATTCCATGTTGGAATTGATGAGTACGGATGGAATGAAATTAAATTGATATATTTTATTATCTAAAGTATTTGAAATTGAA